AAAATGTATTAATAATCGAATTAACTATTAATATAAATTATGTTTTCCGAGGACTATGAAAAAGGTTCTCGGAAGGTGTGTATGCCCTCGGAAGTAGCTATATATCTGTATTTTTGTCCTCGCAACATATAGCAATCCAAGTACACACACACACACACGTTTCATGATAAATCAGCCACGCGTATTATCAAGAAACAGTTTTTTATAGACATGCCCACCAATCAGCAGCTTTCATACAGAGCTTCAGCACATGGGAATGAGGATATCCAAGTGGGTGTTCATTCATACAGATTCCATGTATTCCTAATATTATTACATCGTTTGGATCGAATTCCCATTCAGCGTCCACCAGGTACAATGACATTCGATAATGAATTCGATTTATGTTTTGACTGCACGTTATAAAGTCAATGTCAGGTATACTAAACACTTCTTGACAATTATATAGTGTGCCCTGATTGACAATTATAATTACAAGTACTTGCCTGCATGCATGTGTGCCTTGGAGATCTCGTGTAAGCTAGCTCTCACAGTGAAAACAAATTATTGGAAACAACAAAAACATCTCTATATAGGAGTTCACCCAATCTGATTAAAATCTGATGTAGTGTACGGGCTTTAATTATTTTGGCTATAAACTTATTTTAATTTAATTTTTTATTACTTTTGTTATTAATGCCTTTTTATTTTATTATTATTTTACTTTGATTTTTTTTTAATTCCGCCCTACATACCGACGCCTATGTAAGTCCCGTTCAAATCTCGCGTAAGTAACAGCCAATCACAGCCCCCTTTTATACAGGCTGTCGGTTGCTTACTTTTCAGTGTAGCGATACTCTACGGGTAATTTTTCTGTACATTATATTTTTCCCACTTGAATAAACCATTAATAGAAAATTGCTAGTATATTTTTATTTACAAAAGAAATTCCACAGCATTTTACAATTGTTGTCATTACATTGAATATTTTTTTCACTTCCAACAAAAGTGTACACTTCCAGATACATCTTCGCCAGCCAAGGTTCGTTCATTCAGTCATCGCTTCAATTTTACATCAAACACTGAGCATAATTATCTAGAATGGAAGCAAAGAAATAAGTAAATCGTAATGATTAGAACACTGTAAACAGCTATAGTAAACAATGCAAACTGATTTTACATTGTATAACGGTCACCGGCCCACGGAATCGACGCAGAAAATTGGAGCAAAAAATATTTCCTGATCAATTGCAATGTGACATGTGTTCCAAATAAAAAATATTTTATTCCAGCCCAATTACTTTAATAAAGAGTTATTGTATAATGTACAAAATGTTGATACATTTTGATGAATATTTACAGCTACGGCTTCAATACCGATTTTGGTCCGATCGTCAACAAAACATCACCCGTCTCCAGGGCAAGCGACTGGAAAAAGACACCGGTGTTCGGTGGAACCGGTGGAAACAAAATCGTCACTCCCAGAATAACTACGCAAAATAACGATCTAAACTCGAACCATTCGAGCCACAATATTAACATAAAAATGACTTTCGTTGCATTTGACAATGATAAACTTACCGAAAAGCCGTGTTATTCCCGGTCGCTAACGTCGGTATAATCCGCCATTTTAATTGAGTGTGTTTGCCCGGTGACGTCATCATGTGCGCTATAGAAGGAGGTCTGTGATTCGTTGACTAAAATCGTCGATAGTGGGTCTCGTTGAAACCTCGTTACAGAGGCATCGGGTCAGATGTAGGTAGGGCGGAATTAAAAAAACACAATATCACAAAATCAAAATCAAAGTAAAATAATAAAATAAAAAGGCATTAATAACAAAAGTAATAAAAAATAAAATTAAAATAAGTTTATAGCCAAAACAATTAAAGCCCGTACACTACATCAGATTTTAATCAGATTGGAGTTCACCATGTTTTGATGCACACTTTGTCTGCCAAAATATATCAATCCACCCAGACTCAGAATAAAGTGAACAGTAATAAAAAAATCTTATAATATTGTAAGATTGATAAGTTATTATCACTTCATGTCTGATATAACATACATCGAGACACTCATTAACATTTTAGCTTTCATTATGCCATAGCAAGCTAATTATTAACTGCGAGAATAGTACAATCTTCTAACGTACAATAAACTATCAACGACCTAGTTTTTTGGTTTTTGGATATTGATTGGTCTATAATATAATGTAATGTTCTAATAAGGTTTTAAATCTCACATTGTTTTTAAAAATCACAAACATTTCAGAGCTGCTGCGGTCGATGAGTTAAAGTGGCTAATGGTGCCAAGAATGAAGGTATGGTATGTAACTTGGTAAAACATTGGAATCTTGCTGATGAAACAGGGATACCAGAATAGATAGGATAGTTACTAGTTAAATTTAAACTGGCAATGGAGACAGAACGACATAGTAATTCCATTATTCCTTCTCGGTTGAACATTTGAGTATTGGAAGATTCGTTGTTGAGGATGAATGCCATTTTATTCCATTTTTATTATACTATTCTATTCGTATTTTTTTACCGAAGTCTTCAATTTTAGTAAAGAAGATTTGTACACCAGAAAAGTTACAATAACCAAATTAATCCATAAATCGGCAAATTACACAAATAAACAGATAACATTGTCCCAAATTGGCAGGTTTAATTTAGAATGTATGAAATTAGAATTTGCAAACAGTTACACGATAGCTAATAATTAACGACATTAACGAATGTTTGAAATATACCGACATTGCTGAAATTTATGTTATTAACGCAGTTACACAGACGATAATGCGCTATCCAATAATAGTACTCTCATTTGTAGGTAACGTAAAATTAATGTTGATTGTTTCTACATAATATGAGTTAATCTTCTCACTTCCTCACTATTTGATGAATATCGATTCGCCATGCCATGATTCCGATATAATTTCAACACGATTTGTACACACGTCGTGCTACGCCCTCGAACAATATCACCATTGTTTTTCGCAGTACCACACGTTGTCTTAGGTATAAAGTACGGCGATGGGAAAATAAAAAAATTATAACTCATCTCATCACTTACACAAATTTAGAATGTTATCTACACAAGTATATATATTTCTTCAAATACATTGCTGTGCATCGATTCGTGGCGCTTGTACCCTAGCTCGGCTCAACATAACACTTGTTGCAGTTTCAAGTTATACGACAATACAAAGATCTGTTTTTGACCAGTGTCCCGGGATGAGGGCAGTATTGATAAGAGACCACAGTATACTTGATATGATTGTTGATATAGCAGTGAGTTGCTGCATGTTTCATATGTCTGTAAACCAATAATCTCGCTAACATGGCTGGTATACACAGGGGCACATGACCGAAGCACAACACCATGGTCACTGATTGGCGTGGTCAGTATTCAAATGAAGTCTATTGACAGCTGTTTGATGTAATATGCAAATTAACATAGTTAACTTTTAAAGTTCACTTATTTGCACAAACGTTCGCATTATATGCATACAATTTTCACCCACATCCGTACAATGTGCATATTAAACACTAAAATTGCAAATCCATCTCTAATTAATACTTAGTATTACTTTATCTGAGACAGAAATTCATTATTAACGAAACAGCCAAACCGGAAGCTAACCTGCCCAACCAGTGCAAAGCTGGCAGACAATATTAATAACAGATGGGCAATAGAAAACTGCCGCAAAACGTCATACTGTCGAGTACAGTGGTGGACTGACCCAAAGCATATATTAATATTTTTTATGTTAATCATAATTAGTTTTAATTTTCAATATAATTGGAACGAAACTATACAGTTATAAAATTATTTTCCGACAGGAAACACTAGCATGCACTAAATTTAGTTAATATGTTCACGTTTGTTGCCAAATAATAGCTATCTCGTGTTCAATTTAACCTACTGCATTCCTTCAACTAAACTATTGCTGTATTTATGTCAATGTGTAATACATGGTGATATTATCTATGTTGTAGTTAGGTTTATCACCGGGAGTACGAAATATGATAACACCTTGGTTGCCTGTAAAATTAAAAAAAGTAACTCAAAATTTTACTTTTTAAATCTCAATATTTAAAGCAGAAACCGGCGTATATTAACAACTTGTTGATACCCAATCTGATTAAAATCTGATGTAGTGTACGGGCTTTAATTATTTTAGCTATGAAGTTATTTTAATTTTATTTTTCATTACTTTTGTTATTAATGCCCT